ACTTGAAATATAGTCCTTAAAAGTTTGGATGGGGCCCTTTCCAGACAGGCCAAGGAGCTATATAGTCCCAACTGAGCACCGAACAAAAGTTGCCTGTGTTGTGCTCTTCTGGCAAAGTGGAACTATTCTATAGCTGCCGGTGATTTTTGTGCATTTCGGATTACATAGTTTCATTGTCGGCTGTGTTTGGCAGAGCTATGAAAAACTATGGCCAAATATTTAAAGATTTAATTTGTTCTGTTGTCTGGCCATTTAATCACCAGGCATGCACTCAAGGTTACTTTACAGAAATTAAGATGCTGGTTTTAGTGCAGTTGATATCAAGTGCTTCAGTGCTTGCTCTGTTGTTCAGCCAACATTCACAATGATGCAGCCTCCCTGCCAGTCTAAATGCTAGCAGTGTCTAAGTGTGAATAAACACCTTTCCTCAGATATGGACTTTAGAACAGATATTCAGGTGATTCTTCAATTGCTATCATATTTTGTCTTAATCAGGACTACCAGACGAATGACAATGACCAAGCAGTTGTCGAAATTTGTATCACTCGAATTACTTCAGCCATCAGGGAGACAGAATCCATAGAGAAGCATGGGAAAGCTCTTATTGCTCTTTGGGAGTCATGTTTAGAGTACAACCTGAAACCTTTTTGTAAAGATGAAGACACACCACATGCAAAGATTGCTTCTGATATTATGAGCTGCATTTTGCAGGTAAGAATGTTTTGCCCAGTAATGTACCATTTGAGAGAATGTTGATAAGTTCTGTGGGGTTTTTTTGTAAGAGAGCTGCACACAAATGGTCTTTAGAAATTCTCCACCAAATTTAGGAGTACAGAAGTTAAGTGGATGATTTCTCCAGTTTTTTCCAAGGGAAAGAGAAATTATCTAACAATTTCTCATGGGCAAGATTCCTTTTGTGGCTACAGTAGTAGATGTACTGAAAAAGCAGGATAGGAAAAGTTCCCTCCTGATGAATTTCCTTGAAATAGAACAGAAGCATGGGAAACCCCAGAAAAGCAGTATATTCACATAGACCACTTGGCCATCATTTAGTAAAATAAATTCAAGGATACTCCATCCATGAGAATTCCTGTAAAATTTTCTTCTCCTTTGGAAGAATGTCTAAAGTAGACTTTCTTTAATCAAATTTCATGAAAAGTATTTTCTGGGGATGTGTTTTGCACTACCATCTGAAGCTGGAAAAGTGTGTTTTGGAGTTGGTGTGGGTATACACACTACACCTCTTGATGCCTCCTTGAAGAACCTGCAACATTTTCTGGGCTCACACAGTGGCCACGTGATTTCTGGAAAATGTAGGTTTAAATTAAGGAGGTACTGACCGCGTGATCAACCATGTTGGTACTACCTTAACTCAAATACATATTTTTCTGAGATTGTGTGGCTACTGTGGAATCCTGGGGGGAAAATGCAGATGATCCAATGCTCATCCATGCTCACTGGATGTGCATGTACCAAAGACCTTTTCAGCGTCAGATCCAAAGCATTGGATATCCCTGCTATTTTCAAAGCAGTCTGAATACTACTTTGTAACTATGTGTTCAAAATGATATTATGTATTCTAAGTGGTCAGATTTATATTTCAGATTAGCAATTTCCTGCTGCATGCTAGAAAACTCAGAAATTTGCAAGCAGAACTATATATTATATGTATTAATGAAAATGTCATCCTTATGCTCAGTTCTTCCAGTCTGTGATGTATAACAATTTTTATGTATGACCTGATATAATTAAGTTGTACATGGTCCCCTGTATATAAGTAGCTGTTCCATAAAGATAAATACCTAACTTGATGACTGGCCTTGGAATAAGTTTTACCACACATTTTGAAGCTTTAAGTGAAACATTCAGCATAGAGGCACTATTTTGATGGTAGTCCATATTTCAACTAAGCTTCTGCTATTATTCTGGAGTCAAATTATTCAATCACAACCTCTAATTAAATTGTATTATAAGATAAGAACAGAAGCAAAATCCATACACAGGGCCATGTACAGTTTTACACCAATTGATACATCCAACTTGATTCTAAAATTGCAAAACTGAGATGATTTGAAGAAAGGGATTGGGCCAAATCCCAGTCCATCTCACTATAAAATGCACTATATATTCAACAGTAAGTTAATGCATATAATTAGAACAGAAAATAATTTATTTGCTCCTTTGGGGAGCAAGGCATGAGATGAGTCAAAATTGCATACTGTATCTATTTATTAAATGTGTATAGTGTGAACTTACATCAAGTAAGAAGGGTTTTTTTTTTCCAGGCATCATATATTTATATGATATTTATATCATATTTAGTTGTCCATCTAATCTGAGGAATAGAATTGTAGCTAGTTTTAATCCTGTCATTGCTAAAGTTTGTATTAGTAATGGGTTTTTGCTATGTTGGCTAGTTCAGGAGTCATACTAAAGGCTTATTTTGCCTTAAAATCTTATTAATCTCTTTTCATCCAAAAGGAAATAACATATAATTAGAAACGTGGTTCGTGTCAATGGAGTGCAAGCTAAAACACTTCATAGGCCCAATTATTTTTATTTCAGCTTCATAACTCTAGGATCAAGTCCAAGTATGCATTTTAAATAAATTTAAAAATTTAGATCCTAGGCAGATGTTGATTTTCAAAACTGTAATTTTTTAATAGACAGAACAAGACTCCATTGTCTTCATTTTACTCTAAAGGCTCTTTTGACTAATATATATTAACTACCATCAAATCAGTTGGACTTGTTCAAAATTTATGCGATCAAAAACTTCCCCCAATTTTGTTTATGTTGTCTATTTTTCATTATAATGTTATTTCAGGTGTGTCAAGGCAGAACATAGAAAACTCATGGAAGTGAGTTGGAAGTGAGTTGGAAGTGTAATAAGACTCTGCTTCAAGAGCCTTTCTCTTCTAGTACTTCCTTTCCTTAGCCTCATTCCTTAAACTGTGTTGTTGTCAACTCCTTCTTCAGGCTCCTTGTCAAATGAACAACCTTGATCCAACTGACTTATTCACTATTACAGTTCAAGGCGGCCAATTCATGTTTTATTATTAAAGAAATAGAAAAATATGACATTCCATAACACACCTTTATGTTTATATAACATTGTAATAAAGGTAGCATAGTTTGTTCTTACACAATTTATAAAAACTTGTGATATTTTCAGATGCAATAATAATAACACCTAGATGAGTATGGATGGAATAATGTGTAACTCTATTTTTGGCTGCTGTTCTTTTCCACGATAGAATTATAATCGTCCTCCCATCATAGCATTGGCTGTCCCAGTGGCAGTGAAGTTTCTCCAGAGAGGTAACAAAGAATTGTGCAGGAACCTATCCAGTTATCTCTCCCTTGCTGCAATTAGCAAAGCAGACCTGCTTGCTGAGCACACAGAAACTATTGTAAAAAGTATCCTGCAAGGTAGGAAATACCTGTACACTACTGTATTTGATTTGTATGCTTTTACTTTGTAGGAACTTCCATACCTTTTAAAAAATTGTTTAATTAAGCTCAGGGTGATTTGAAACATTATGTGCTGCACATGGTCATTTGGGATGGGGGTCATTCAGTGCTCTTGACATTAGTATGGGGCCAGGTGGTCCAGTCCCAGTAGTTTTCTATAAAGCTAGAATGTTTCTTAAAAGGAAGTATCTAAAGGACAATGCAAATGAGCAATATTCTTTCATTAAACTGTGAAGTTTAATGAACCAATCAAAATTTATTTACACCCCAAGATCAAACATGAGGTAAAACTCAATTTTCACTAATAACAATGCCTATCTTACACATTATAACAATCTACTGCTTGATAGCCAATCATCATCACCATCATCATCTCCCATATGAGAAACCTGTAAAAGTGCAAAGCATCTAAAGTTAGCCTTAGTCCTTCCCAATCATTTTCCTTACATTTTCCCCTGGCTCTTGATTGGACCCATTTACATTTAATTGCTATACCAGCTACATTTAACTGGACCACCATAAATTCTCCTGCTCATACAGAAGGTAGTACAAATCCTACTTATGCTTGGCAGATATATGGAAAAGATAGCATTTGTAGAGAATCAGGCAGATGTCCTTGAGGGGAATAGGCAAGAGCAGCTATATAAGTCAAGAGGGCTGAAACATTCCGTAAGTCCTGGGAAACAAGATACTATTCTGAAGAGACTCAGGCCGGCTCTTCCCTGATTCAGTGGGTAGGGAGATAAAGTACAGTACAGTACAGTCAGTCTTGCAAGATCCTGTTACTTTAGCCCATCTCAATAAATTCTAGTCTTCCCATGGAGTCTTCTTCCTGATCTAGTCTACCCCAAAGGACTGACAGCATCCCACTTTGGAACTTTCATCAAACAAACAAATTCAAACAAAAAGAATTACGGTGGAGAGTCTGTTATCTATAGTCCTGCTGGCTGAGAGATTATGAGAACTGAAATCCAATGCATCTGGAGGCCCCAGTGTGTGGGAGGTGCCTGTATAGTGTAAGGACTAGTTTGTTCAGTAGAATGCATTATCCATACCATTTGGAGGCCTCTGTAATTTTGCGATAACCCATGGTATTTATCTTGTTATATGTTTGTTTGATTGATTTTTTTAACCTGCATTTATTTTTGGTCAATTCAAGGCGGTGTACATACCTAACGCTGCCACATTCTATTTTCCTCACGACAACAGCCCTATCTGGTGGGTTGGGCAGAGAGAGGCTGACTGGCCCAAAGACACCCAGCCAGCTTTCATGCTTAGGGGAAGACTAGAGTATTTTGTTTTTGAAGAGTAACTTTTGGTAGAACAACTAAAATGCTAATATAAGTCCTCCATAATCTTCATTGTTCCTAGTTCTGGCATCTGTTTGTTCTGACATTGTTCTGCTTTTAGAGACAGGATTTTATAGAAAAGAGATTCAAGAAAAAGGGGCCCACATACACTCTGACCTTTTGTATTCCAAACACCCTAAAGAAAATGATTTGTAATATCAATCTGATAAAGGACTTTTTTATTTACAGCTCAATTTTATAAAAATAATTTCAATAAGGTCAATACAAAATCAGTTTATTTTACAATATAATATAGCTATATCAATTTCAAACCAGAAAACTGCAATCATCTGAATGCAAGGTAGGCTTTCAGGATAAAAAGCTGGACAAGACGCTAGCTTTATGAAGATATACATACTAATAACAAAAACAGAAAAAAATATTGTTGCTTCATAATATTTAAATAGTTCAATTGCAAAATACACATTAAAAAAATAAAACCTACAAAGAAGAGGATCTCATAAGACAGCCTAATATTAGTTATGCCAGTAAAAAGTATCAGCCATTTGTTTGCATGCTTATTTAATTAAGACAGTTCTTAAGCCAAAAATCTGTCCTCAGATATCCATAAGGAACAGCTATCTACTAGGAATCCCATATGATTACACTTTAGAGTGAGAACATTTGCTGTATAATACTTAGTTCCACTGAACTGAGCCTGAATCCTGGTGATCCATTGTCTTCCCCTTCCTCTATTTCCATAAACATTGCCAACCATGGTCATGTTTCTAGTCTATCATCTGCTTGTATCTCATTCTCCAAAAATCTGAGTTCCTGCTTGCTAAGTATTGCCTTAAGGGAGCAATCAGTCTTTATTTTTTCAATGGCTTATTGATCAATTCTTGCAGTTCGTAGTGAACATCTATCTTCTTATTCTCACTCTTTATCTATATACAGCTTGAAAAATCCATTGCTTTAACTATTCTGATCTTTGTGTCACATTTGTGTCCTTTGCCTTCATGATTTTGTCTAAGTTTGTCATTGGCTTCCTTCATCTTCACTGTCAACCTTGAACTCATTAAGAATGTTGATTGATAATATCTTTGTCTTAATGTTTAACGTAAGCCTATATTTTTGCTCAGCTCTTACAGTAGTTTCTTGTTCACTGTTGACATAGAACTGTTAGCACTTTAACTGTCTCTTCTTCTACAATTTTAAAGAGTCCAATGAGTATTTCATCTTGGTCTAGTGCTTTTTCCTTTGACACCTGGTTGATTGGCTCTCATAACTTACCTCCTAGAAGAGTCAGTTCTTAAATATATTCTACACATATTTATGTCATTCTGTACTACCACTCTGTAATACTATAAATGGTTTATATCCTTCCATCTTCCTTTAATCTCATTTGCCTCTATTAGATCTCTTGAACAGTTCTACTTTAACTGTAATTCATTACAGTTATTTTTTCTGATGATCTTTTAAAAATCTCTCATTTTTTCTCTCAAATCTGCAGAACCCCACCTACGTTCAACTCCATTGTGAATTACTTTTAGCTCCACGCTTCCCCTTTGATTTTATCAGCAAGGATAATCCTACCAGGAGTTCCTGCTAGCATCATTTTCAGGGTCATTATAGCCTTCCCATCATGATAGGTGGTAGTCTTGTAACTCAGAGTGTGTTCAAAAGCACTTCTGGGGTATGATTAAGATGTGCTTAGAGAATGCTGTATCCATATGGCAGTCCTGACCTGCATGTTTACATACTGACTCTTAACAAGATATATTTAAGAGCCTATAATATAGCTTTCATTTCATAGCAATTTTAAATTGTACCCTACATACATGAATCCTCTATGAATGAGATTTCATGTGGTTAAAATTAATCTTACTGGCATAGCAACTACTTATTCTGAAAGCAGCTATAGCCATTTGTGGAGAGCTGTCTCCCAATCTTCTTAGGACAGCACTGTTCTTCTTTAGGGACTCCGGAGAGCATAGATATTGGATTATAGTTGTAGCCATGGGAGTCATCCAAAGGCTTCTTGCCATGTGAAGCCTCATTCAGAGTTTCTTGTGTGAAGCACAATGTTCTTTATACTGAATGTTCTTTATACTTCTGCTTTTCCTGTGGAAACTGTATCATGGACCAATTCTAAATAAATATATATATATGTGTGTGTATATATATATATTCAGATTTTATAGGTTCTGTTTATTGTGTTTGACTTTATGTAGAGTTTTGAAGAACAATAGTTCAGGGGCTAAAAACATACTGAGCTCCTCCATGAGGCAGAATCTCTGTAACCCCCCACCCAACTATGTTGCCACGGCTGTTACATGCATCTTCTTCAGATTGTCTTATTATCTCTTTATCACTGAGGATTCTGTCCCAAATATTAAAGCCAGTTATTTTTCCAGAAAAAGCTAAAGATTCATTGAAACCACCTCCAATGCAGCAGCCATTTTTTTCCTGGCCAATTTGCAAAATTCCACCATCTGGAATGATGTGGTCTTCATATATATCTGAAGAGGTGACCACAGCCATCCCATTTATCCATAAAGATACATTTCCATTAACTGAACTCCAGGCACTGCAGATGTGAGTCCATGCTCCAGAAGAAATTACATTTGGGGCAGTTATCTTGTTGAGATCACTATTTACAGCAAGAACCACAGAGTCATAGTTCAGATAAAGCTGAATTTCATAGGGATTACTCTTTGTTCCATATGAGAATACAATAGTTTTGTCCAGTGCTTCAGTTACCTTAACCCATGTGCAGACAGTGAAGGAGAAAAGTGTCATCTCACCAGTTGGATGAACACTCACGAAGATCTTTTTAGAACGCATTGGGAATAAAAGAACTGTTTCACAACCTGTAAAAACAACAGAATGTAATTGTTATCAATAAGCTGAATTATATTCAAAGCTTATGCATATCTGGGATAATCATAACATAATATGATTCTAGGTATCAGTCAAATTATGTGTCCATTATCCAGGCAACTGTACTCTGAGTAGCAGTGGCTCTTCTGGGTCTTAGGCAAAGAAATTTTTTCCCTTTTTGTGATATCTTTTAAGAGAGCCACTTCGATGTACTGCTTAAGGCACCAACTAGAAACTGGGAGATTGTGAATTCTAGTCCTGCCTTGGGCACAAAGTTAGCTGGGTGACCTTGGGTCAGGCACTTTTTCTCATCCCTAGGAAGCAGGCAGTAGCAAGCCACTTCCAAAATCTTGCCAAGAAAATTGCAGGGATTAGTCCAAGCAGTTGCAACAAGTCAACACTGACTCGAAGGCATTAAACAAAAAACAAAAAAAACCCACAGCACCTCACAACCTTTTAAAGGGGAGGGAGCAGAGGTACTAGGAATCTGGGATCATCTCCCATTGAACTAGATAATCCTCTGTTTATAAAGAATTTACATTGTGATGGAATAATTGGAAAATAATTTCAAATAATGTAGCTCTTCTTACATGTTACTAATCTCAAGGCGATGTCTAACTCTTTCAATAAAGCACCCAGATGATTCCCATAGGCTTTCCCCATTTGCGTTTCATAATTTCTTTGGCAATCCATCTTAATGCCATGGTGTGATGGAAGGCATGAGCAGGGAGGATTCTGGAATGGAGCTTCAAGGTTGCTGGGAGGGGGAAGAGAGATTCCAGGGTAAGCACCTCCTCAGCCCCCAGCCGGAGGTTGGGAAAGTCAAGAGGATGAGACTGGCCCCTCCCTAGGGCATCATGGTTAATTGCTGTTGTTGGGGATTAGAATTAGTCTGTCAAGCTAATAAAGGAGCTAAACTGTTCTACTCTGTCTCGCTGTTGTTCTTGGGCTGAACCTGACACATGGGGGTGGGGGGGTGGAGAAATCCTTTGTCACTGATTTCCACTCAAAAAGACTTTTACTCATTATATATACTATGTGTAAATATTAGGCCAACTTAAAAATTATATAAACATTGTTAGACTTTCTCTTTGGCAAGCAGCATGTTAGAGAACTGGAGTTTCCCAAAGCTTGTACATATGTTTTCTGATTATGTACTGTCATAATAAGGATTGGAGTTTTTTTTCTGATTAGCCTTTTCACCGATTGGATTTGTGACATTTTTTATTACATCAAGGAAAACAGTGATATTTCATTTAAAGTATTTCTACACTTATATTTTTAAATTTACACAATCAGTTTATGATTATTATGACAAATAAAATGCATGATAAACAGAAATGTGTTAGCAAAATATTAGAGTTAAATTCAATGCACCTATAATCACAAATTGAAGTAATCTAATAGTTTTTTGGGCTTGGCATGTGTATGTACATGCTGCATGCACTTCTATGTCTCCCTTAGATACAGCATGTAAATAGAAATGAGGAAGGAGAAGGAAACAGCAGATCCTTATCAACAGAATAATTTATAGAGTACATTTCTAGAGGACCTATCTCAGTATGTGTCATACTGTGTTATCAGTCTTACACTAAATTCTTGGCCATTTTGACCATCAGAAAAAATGCTTTTGATCATTTTCCCATGAAAAAAGTATTATCTTATGCTACCCTAAGGTGAACGATTGCACATTTTCATGGGTTGAAAACTCATGGTTTAGAATTAATTTTCCATGTAGTAACCTGCCATTTTGTTTAAAAGAACTCAACTGTACAAAAATGATAAAGATCTAGACGATAAACAATTTGAAGCAATAAGAAACAGAAACATGACTGACTTATAGTTGTACTCATTGTACTCATCTATTGCTCAGTTGGTGGTAGACAATTTAGAAATATTTTAATAAAAGTATGAGAAAATGATCACAAAAATTTGAGATATAGTATTTTATGGTTATTATGAATAATCAGCTAACATTGCATTTCAGATTCTTTGAACTTCAGAAGTAAAATGAATATTGAAATCACAGCTGTAATAATTAGTTTCCTTTTTCTATTTTCTCAAACTGGGCTGGTATCATATGCTTTGAGTTCTGAGAATGTTAAAATGCTTTTGACCACTAAGAATAGGGGCAATGGGTCATGAACATCTGCAGGAATACTTCTTCAAAGGGCAAAGAGCTCTGTGTAGTGACATGGCTTTTTAATTATCAGGATTTCTAACTTTATTATCAAGGGGTAGGGAAAATTAAAACCAGCTTTATAAGTCACCAACAATAGTGTGATCAGAAAACCTCTTAAGAATCAACCTGGCAGGAATCCAAAATATGTGAGAAATCAAAACCAGTTGCTGAAAACTCTTTTGAAAAAATTTTTCCAGAGGGATCTGTGGAATATTTTAAAACGTTCGTCTTTTTGTTCTTAATCAAATTATGAATTTCCTCTCCCTGGTCAAAACAAATAAAACTGAATTATATCATTGGTCAGAATGTGGTAAATTAAGAACAGGTCCTGCAAATTGGATGGAATTATTTTGAACTTATCACTTCATAGATTAGTTCAATTTCTGTATGCATTTTTCTCCAAATTTTAGAAAAGAGCAAACTGTACTCTCTTCCTCCTACTCCTCCCTCTCTTCTGTAACAACTAGCAATGTGAAACATGTGTGACATCATTCCATTGTGAGATTCCCTCTCTCAAGCAATAGCCAAAGAAGTGAAGTGGGGTTGGGAAGCTTACAACATTATGGAATGTTGTACAAAGCACACCACACATTTTGTATTTTGAAATGTTAAAAGGGAGAAGGAAGAGCAGATGATTACTTGTGGCATAACTTTCTCACTGAAATCAAGGTAACTTTAAACCAATGGCTGCTAGTGTTATTAGACAAGCAAACAAAAATTGTACATCTATTCCATTCTTCCCTCTTGGATGGATTTTTCTGGTAAAAGAAAACAAAAAAAAAATTGGGGTGGGGGGAGAAAGAGATGTTAAAAGATGACATTGTCTGGACTTCCTATAAATCCCATTTGGAGATAGGGCAATTGCATAATGCAAACCTTTGTTGGAAGCAGCCAAGAAGAAATAGTGCTAAAAGTGCTTTGGCAATGTTTTCCTTTTGGGTACTTTAGTAAAATCTTTGCACAGTGAATGCTCAATGAATTGTTTTATGTTATGAGTATATGGCTATTAATATTACTTCAAAAGATGTATTAATTCTAGATATCCATTCTTAACAAAACAAGTAGCTGATTTATCCTACTCATTAAAATAACTAAGGCTCCATCAGAAGTGTCTATAGTGGAACAGATGTGGTCCTTTTCAGAGGATTGTAATGGTATTTTTAAGCATGGCATTTTAATATAACGTCATCTTTTGAAAGTTAATGAGCATGAAAAGTATAGCGTCATCTATGTTATGCTTTCTCCCCTGTGCTCATCCAAACGTATTTATTCTCCTCTTGTTCAAATTAAAATGTCATGTTCTGGAATAGTTCTAAGTTAACTGAATTTAAAATTACTACCAAAAATTAGGATGCTTGGCAATATAGGACTTCCCCCCTTTTCACATACATTGGAAAGGGCCTTTAGATATTGACTGTGGTTCTTACAAACCTTTTGGACTAATGAATGCATGACACACAGCATGGGTTATTTAACCATCTGCTTATTTCTCAGCACTACTATATTTTTATAAAATAAAAGCAGTGCTTCAGGCTCGTAGGCAGCTGTTGCTTTAGAGACCACTAATCTGTCCAAGGAATGCCACAGAATAGCAGGAACCTTTTGTAACTGTGGCAACTTTTCTTTTGTGTGGTTAATTATATGAGACCTACATCATTCTTTCTAAATTATACCAACAGTTATTTAAAATCTAGGTTTGAAGGATACAGCTATCTTAAAAAGACCAAGTTAGACTTTAAATGTGGTGAGAGAATGTGTTTCAAAGTTATCTAACATAAATAGTTTCATTATTTATCTTAGCATAAATCATGGCATGCTCAGATTGGGTATTAAAAGTACTGGTATGGTTGAGGGGAATCTTTGTGATATATGGCTGTGCAGTTGTGCTTCACAGAGTGTAAGCTATTCCACTTTCCTGAACCCCTGCGGAGGATCTGTTTATGCCCTGAAGCGTGAGAATTAAATTGATGAATAGTCTGTTGACATAATGAGTGAGCTCACAAGGTCAAATTGTGTTCAGAAGTGGCTCCTGAGGAATGCAATGAAGGAATCAGCAGGTATGTTAGAAGAAGACAGAGGAGAGGAACAGCCAGAAACTGAATTGATTGGGATTATTGTTATTACTGGTTTTGCAAAATAAAGTTAAGGAAGGAAGGGAATAACTGCAAACGACTTAGCAAAACTTTATCATTGCTTTGCTAATGAGTTATCTGTAGATGGTTTTGGAGCCCTCTATTGGCCAAATGTGAGTATTCAATGAACATATTTTAAGGTACAGCATCATAGTTGAAGCTGTGAATACTATTGATGGCTTCCACACTACACCTTGAGTTCGTATTGTTTGGCTGCTATACTGTACAAGCCAGACAGACCCCCACCCAGTTCTCTCCAACTTCATAATAATGCCCCCTCCTGTATACGCAAAGCATCAGGTAAGGTTATTTAACAAACTTATGTTTAATATGGTTGGTTGGGAAGGAATGTGTAAGGCAATAGTAACATTGGAAAAAGAGGCTGACTCACCAGCTGGCAATGAAGATTTTGTGGTCCTCTTTTGGGATTCTTTCAGTTCAGCTTTTGTTTCCTGCAGCTCTTGCCACAGTGACTTCAGCATGAAACCGTCCCCATTAGTTATGTAGCTGACTCTACCTTCCTCTGACAAATGACTCTGCTGATCACCCTCTTGGGCGCTCCACTGCCAAGCACGCTCGAGCTGGCTGAGTCGGGTGGAAAGATTTCGATTCAACTGCAGAATGTCTTGGAGAATCTTTTCTTGCTTAGTCTCATGAAGCATCCCAGAAATACCCCCATTTTCTTTGTTGTTTGACATCTTCTGGTCCATTTGGCTCCAGATCTGGGAGATTGCTTTCTCGATATACGTGGTGCACGTGCCAGCAAAGTTTTCCACAAACTGCAGCATTTCTGCTCTCAGCATCTGCAGCTCCACCTTAAGGATTTCATCCAGAGACTGAAGCAGCATGTTTTCCTTCATCTGGGAATTCTCAAGCATAATGAAGAGCTTGTCCCATTCCGTGTGTTCTCGCTGACAATCACATGAAATGGCTGGAATAGAGTACATAGTATAAACATTATGCTACATGTTTGAACTTCTTTCTCCCAAAAGAAGCTGTTTAAAGAAATATGTGTTCCAAGATTCTTTACATGCTTTCTTTCTCTGGAAAATAAGGCAAGGGCATAATGTAGAAAATAAGAGCAGAGAGATCTGCCTGTCTTCTATCTTGGCTAAATGAATGTTCTGTAACATGAATGCTATTTTCGAGTCTGTTAGTTACAGGTTTTTCAACAATGGAAAAATAAGAAACATGAACTCTGAATATTATTTCTATTGTTAATACAGAAACAATTAGTTTGTAGTTAAAGACTAGGGAAGAAAGGCAGAAAGTACTTACTTTCTTCTGTTGCAGGGATTACACTCTCTATTTCATTGTCAAAATTCAAGAAGAAGAGATCATCATACTCATCTATGTTCTGACTAAATGAAGAATAACAGAGAGCAAAAAACAGAATCATGAAAGAAAACATATTTGGATAGAATTTCCCAGCTGCTTCCTTAAAAGTTGCAGTGTCTTAGTCTCTAGCAAGACTGGAGTAGAGATGATTCCAAGAGAGAAAGCCCTTAAGTAATACTGGGAGAGTGCCTGAGCTTGAATGAATGAGTAATTCTAGTCCTGGTGCTGTAAGAGGAGTGCTTCTGGTTATTATTAATTTTTTTGGATGGGAACTGTAAGGAAGGGGGAGGTATGGAGATTGCACAATCCTGGACCTTGTCTGAAATGTCTGAAATGTGGGTGGATTAGCAAGGAGTGAAAGGGGAGAAATGATAAAAAGTCTGTGCTTGCAAATTGCAGAGTTCTTTGGAGGCTAGATTTTTTTAAATGCCATGGATTTTAATGAAAAACAAGGCAAATAAATAAAATGTGAATTTGCTGACTTAAAGAAAAATAATAATTTAAAGAGATTCTTCGGTTACAACTGGAAAGTATATACTAGTCCAATAGTTGTTTGTATTCATTTGTAAAATTTATTTATTGTTATTGGATATTTAACTGCAGAACTCTGGGAATATTATTTTTATTATTAAAGACATGTACAATATTGGGATAAACAGAGAAGATGTAAAATATTCCAAAGGATATATGAAACCCATTTTCCTCTAGTAGGAATTATCTAATAGCAATTATTCACTTGAATGGGAAAAATATGTTATACTTTTAACTCATAATCAGCTGATTTTATACACACACACACACACATACGCACACAGCTTAAAAGTTTGTTTGGATGCATTCCTTCCTCCCCAAACAATCTTTTCTATTGATCTTGAATATCTCTAGAAAGCCTCCTGCTGTTTGAACAATACTTTGAAATGAATTTTTAATTCATATCCTGGATACAATTAGCTTAGAAAATAGGACTTACTTAGGGGTACTATGCTTGGTTAAACATGAGTTTGAGAAACAGAATTTCTAAATATATGAAAAGCTAATGTTCGCTCCACTAGAAATGTTTAAGGATAAATGTGATTTCTCTAAAGAATTGCATGTCATAGCTTGTTCTGCTTAGACTTACTTATACTTACTTAATGTTTTTATTCTCATGTATACTTTAAAAGAACTTTCCTCTGTAATTTATGTAAGAATCAGAATATTTCAGATAGAACCACTGTGTGAAATATGGGGGCACTTAACCAAACTGGAATTAACTACCTCTTCATTTACTAACTACATTTCTGACTCTGGAGTTAGATATGATAAATACTGTATGGTTGCCTCTCAAAACTGCAGTTCCATGTTTCATCCTTCTTTTTCTCCCAATAAATGTCTGATAAAACAATAGATGACACAGGGCCAACTGTGGCTATAGACAATAGCCAGTGAAATAAAAGGGGGAATCTTGCAATTTAATGATGCCATGTTAACTATTTATTAAATATGCGTGGAAAGAAAGTACAGACAATAAGATAATCCTATTACTGTTTTTTAACAGTAACCAAGGGCCTGAAATCATATACAGCTTTGGCCCAGCATGAATGCTTCTATTGTGATTGAGTTAACCTGTGTTGAAGTCAATGGAGGGCACAATATACTCCTTTCCTCTTGTGGGGCTATTCAACTTCCCAAATGAAGCAAAAGTTTTCATTTTAAGAAGAAGCTTAGGAGGAAGAAATCATTTTACTGGGCTAAAAAGAATTTCACACTCATTTATTTACTTATTTGCTAACGTGACAAAGCTGTGATAAAAGCAAGACTCAAATGGCCTTTTTGGTAACAGAATGGTCCAGTGGGAATGCTACTATGTCATTATATAGCATAATTCTAAGTTTTTTTTGTTTTGTATTGTTCTGTTTTTGTGAAAGGGGACTGGCACTGCTGATACAAATATCCAGTGCTCTGTGAAATAATGCTATTTGATTACTTTGCATTGCTTCTGAAACAGTTTTCGAGACTTATTTTAAATGTGTGGATGAAAAATGTATGGATGAAAAGGCTACATATTTCTACTTAACTGAATCCCACTCACCATTCCAAAGATGGGTTCAGCTCACCCCCCCTCCCTTGAACTTATACTATGTTCTGCTGCCCATTTATCTGTGTAAGTCCTAGATTGAAGAATAGAAGCATCATTGAAAATTAAGATAGTAGCTTCAGAGGGGCAAATTTGTTAGGGAAGTAGGAGGGAGGAATTGCTTTGCCTTAATTTCTTTTCCTTACACCAATTATTCCTAGGTCACTCATGACTGCCTATGTCTGCTAGATATCTAAGAGAATCTGTGCATGTTAAATGCATTGGCAAAATTAATGCAATGTCTGTTTTGGTCCTGATTCATCATTCAAAATGCTACTCATTTGTATTCTCAAGCTAGCAGCACACAGTGCATGACTGGTAGTTGAACATATTCCCATGGATAAAATATGATTTCAAAAGTTTAAACAGTTCCCTGAAAAGGTTTAGCTCATATTCTATTTTACAAAACAGAATTCCTTCCAATTTTAGTCCTATGTTTTCACAAATACTATATGGGTGACAACTTTACAAAAATATATCTAAGTTGATCTGCCAGCCAGTGATTGATCATCATTGTGCTAAAATGTACAAAGTATGAATTTGAAACCAATGCTGGTGGTGTGCTGGGTAAACAAAAGGGCAAAATTTGGTCATACAAAAGTACCTTTTATGTATTAACATCAATAGAAACTATCCAACTTCAACCAGCAGGCTGAGGGTGCCTCGTTCATAACTCATTTCACCAAACATTTTCCCTCTGGAATAATCCATTAGCCAACTTTTACTACATACATTTTAATCCATAAGGACCCAACTGTTTCCCAAGCTTTATACAAAAAGGCATCTCTTGTTTTAAGAGTGAACATCTGCTGACATGCTGTAGAAATAGTAAAATTAGATATCCCAGGGTTTTGTTTTGCTTTTTCTATTAGAAGTAGGTATGAAAAGCATCATTAGTTCTAAATCAGTCTGGAGGCTTAAGAAACACGATTGAATAATGATAAGGTCAAGGCTCAAGCTGTGGTGTGCTCCTTTCTAGTCTGACAAAGATACCTATCTGGATATTTAAAGCAGGAATATATCTCTAAGAGCCCTGGCAGGCTAAATTCTTCTATTCAGAGCTTAACGTACAGACATGTTTAGTTCTACCATGAGTCTGGAAGCTTCATCTTACTTCATCAGAAGCATCCTGCATCTGGCCTAGGTCAGTGTCAGCTGTGGTAGCTGACTTGTTCTGATGCAGAAAATACTTGATTAAGTATATGAGGCAATCCTGCCTAGCCTTCTGCTGACTCAGACATTCCTAGACTAAATAGTTGGATGATATCATGCCAGGCCATTGCAGAGATGCATATGGAAGAAAAGGATGTGGGTTTAGAATGTATATTTTTATAGAATTGTTTAAAGAAAATTGTTTGAGTGTGTGTGGTTTACTTTAATGCTTGAATTTGGTTTTACTTCTGCTATTTCTGGCTTTTATTAGTTACTGTTCATTTCAAAGAATTTATTATTATTGATATTTGAGAGGGCTCTTTTGCATCATGAGGCCATCTAAAGCATCTACAAATAAAAATCAATATAATAAATATGTAAATATTTTCAAAATGACACCAAAAGAAAATATTATCCATAACATCAGAGTGTGTTAAAATAATTACAATATAATATGTGTTACAGGCATCTGAGTCCAAATCATAAGGAATGATAATCATGAAAGAAAGCCTGCTGGATCAGGCCAAAAGCCCATTTAGTCCCATATCTGTTTTCTACCAGGGTCTAGCCCAGAAATGGTGAATCTTTTGGGCTCGGCGTGTCAAAAATTTGGAAAATGCCTAACTTGACTCTGCTGG